TGAGCTTTAACGAACTTTTCATAAGCCTGACAACATTCTGCGATACTCAATTACATTACTGGCATTATCCATGAATCACTAAGACAAATTAAGATGTTCCACTTTTCACTCTGGATACCTTTTTCAAGAAAAATAAGAGACTCGGGTCAAGGGAGAAACTACTTTTCTGTGGTGGAATATCTACTGTGGATGTTGCATGTGAGAAATCAGGCAGGGAGCACAGTGTCTGTGTGAAACTAAGTCACACAACTTTCTCACTCTAGCCTGAGAAATCACAAGGAGGAATCCAAACAGTCCTCGGTGAGAGAAAACAACCTTTGCAGGTGTTGTTTGTTGCCTTGTTTTCTTGTAAGAAACAGCCAGGGGGTGGTGTTCCTAACCGTCCAATGATGGTGATGTGTTGGTTTCACGGCCAATGAGACTCTTCCCTTTTTGGACCGTCTCAGAACTGTCTATAAAAGATCTGGAAGATAAAACTTATTCTGGAAAAAAACTTGCTCTCTTTTGCACCAAAGCTAGAGAATCTATGTAGTTACTTTTGCTGTTCCTAATATAATGCTACAATCTATCAACAAGGAAGATATATAACCAGATTTCTGTAATTCTGGACCCATCTTCTGTCCTTACACAGAGAAAGCTGAAAGGAGTGGCCTTTTTCCTTCCCTCAGGTAGAAGTGCAGTGTGATCATTAACTTCTGGAAGGTAGTGTGTTAGCCCAGAATGGGTAAAGAGCAGTACTGGAAAATACCATATATTTCCAGATGTGTTTTCTCAGACTTTAAACTAATTCTGAATTGGCATTGTATGCTTTGGCAGGGGAACAGAAAAGATGATGTAACAGGTCATTTGACTTCTGTCACTAATGTCTCTGATCTAAATAACATTTTATGTTTAGGTGTTTAAAACACAATTTCCTAAGAACCAGGTTTAGGGTTAGAAATGGACAGTAAGACAGTGGCTATCAAACCCACAATAATGCTAAATTAAATTGTAAAAAGTCTCGAGGATCCTTAAAATAGGAAAAAGTAGCTCCAGCCTCTTTATAGTTCACAAGAGAGCTCAGATGCAAATAAATATGCACTAGAAAACCAATGTGATAATTACACATGTCACTGGACAAAAATTGCATGGTAAGAACTACAGTCACAGGGATAAGAAACAGAGGTGATATTGCAGTTGTTATTATGTATTTGGCTATTATATACTATCTATACATAATTTATTCTATATATAGTGTATGTGTATACACACACCTCTGAACTCCACACAATAACATTGTGTGGATGAAGAGCCAAGAAGACCCTTGCACTGAAAGAAGGAAACAAGAAAGTAGATTACCTCACAAAGAACCAAAGAACTGGTATGTTTATATTTCTTGGAACCAATCCAAAGATGAGCAGCAGAGTTTTGGATGAATTACAAATTTTCCTAATACCTCCTCTGAAAGCCAGGCTGGTACAGCATTTTAATAATCCAACTCAAAATCACAGAAAACAACTTTGATTTTTGCCAGGTTGAACTGTAGTGAGGGAGAAAGGGCCCACAGACACTTATAAACAATTTTAATCTGTTCACCCCAATCTCAGCCTATGTGTGAGCAAACTAGTTCTGCAACCCACTGTTCTCCTCAATAGAAGAGGTTCAAGTAGTTATAAATCCAAGTATTTCAAAATCAGCAAGTGAAAACTTTCTAATAAGATGCAAATTCAGGGTAGATCAGCAAGTCATGATATACAGCCAAGCCTATGCTCCCAAACCCCATTTTTACAAAAGGCTTCCATTGATAACCTCTTGTCAGTTGACAAAGAGTCCTAAACAGTGGAAACTGCACAGTGTCTTCCATCAACTCTGTGAGAGAGGGTGCAACAAGCATCATTGTACTCTATCCAGTGAAGAAAATCTGAGTGCATGTCATTAAATAATTGTCTCCCAAATATGTTTTTTGTTTTTTACCCGGCTTGCTGAAGGGCACTTAGCATGTGTCAGTACCAGCTTCTGGGAAGGTTTGTTGGGTGACTGTCTGCCTGGATTAAGCACATCTCTCCTCCCTTCTCAACATCTCTCAGTTTGGAGGACACATACATACAGACACACACACAGAGATTGTATTTTCCTTTCATTTGCTTTGATTAAAAACAAAATAATTAGAAAAAACATTTATTGCTGTCCCAGTTGCGTTTGTTGTAATTTAATGCAAACAGCTTCTTTTCCAAATCATGCAGTTTAATAATACGAGGGAAAAATTTACTAATGATTTTTGTGTGAAGAGTAAAACAGTAGCAGATCTACGACTGTTCCACTGTAAAGCTCTCCACTGGAGTTTACCAGAGAATAAAGAAAGGGAGAAAACACCTAAACATAGTTAACTTTTTCCTCATGAAAAAAAAAAAAGTCTAAGTTGAATTGCTTTGCTAAATAAAAATTACGATGCACATAAACAGTTAAACTTACCACACTGTTACAATTGTTAGGAATTTAGAAGTTTGGGAGTTTGCATTTGGTTTTACTGCAAAAAGTGTAAATGACTCCAACAAAATACTTTTCAATTGCTTAAAAAAGTGTAATTTCTTGGCTTTTAAGTATTGCTTTCATGTTCCCATGGATGTTCCTCAGTGTTCTTAGACACTAGTCAAAAATCATAATTGACACTTTACAAGTGAAACAAAGCAAATTACATGTCTAGATTTTTGGCAACATTAGTGTATTTTCTTTCAAAAAATGGAAATGGGTCTTCTTTGTAATAAGGCAGTAGAATTTATGTTTCTAAGATTAAGAGCATAAGGCACATTGAGTATATTTAAACAATATGAAAATCACAGCACAGGGAGGGAGTTATGATGAATTTCATATTAAACTACCCCTTAGTTAGGCTACTTTTAGCTTTTCAAATGTCCCAATCAGAAAGAATCTAGTAACAGTGAGAGCTGAAACTGCACTTCCTCCTTCAGTTATTTTGGTTCTACAATTCTCACATTATAGGTTTGGCTTTCTGTCAATCATCAAAAAACATCTTCAAGGGAAGACCAATGACCTGCTTATCTAAAAATTCTGGTTTTAATGCTTCAGCACCGGGACTTGGGAATAAGGGGAAAGGACAACCCACCACTAGCCTAGGCCCAGAAGCACCCCAGCTACTTTGGAGCTGGATGGGGACACAGCACACCACAACGCTGCCCTGGAGAGAAGTAATTCTGAGAATTACTCCTATGCCTCCAGCCCATTTTCTGTGTCTTGTGAAAACGACATGAGATGTGAAAAAGGATTTGAGGACAGTTGGGCTGACGAAAAGATAGTCCCTGTTCATGGGGTTTAGGAAGTGACTCTGTTTGCTGCCTCGAGAGTAGGTGTAAGCCGAGGCTAAGTACTGTGGTGCCCCGTGTATTTGAAAGCCTCGGTCCTGAGGAAAGGCGCCAGAAGGAAGAGAAACACGGTTATGCCTCGCTGGTAATACCAGGAGAGCAGTAAGATGTCACTGAGATCGTTCTACTTCCTGTTTGCTAAGCGCACATGCACACATTCTGCCATCCCCGCCGCTTTGTACGGCTCCTGGCCGCACTCCCCGCCGGCCCCACTCCCTCCGCATCCCCACTTCCCTGCTGGCCCGCCGGGAGATGCGCCGAGCTGCCGGGAGTTGCGCTCCCGAGGCCAGAAGGCGGGGACAGCGCTCGGCGCTGAGCTTTTGTTTGCCGCTGGCGAAGCGATCCCCACCTCCAGCCACCCCACGGTGAGGAATCGGGGCTGGGGGCAGGCAAAACGCCCAGCACAGCAGCGGGAAGACTGCTGCCCGCCGGGCTGCGCGGGGTCCCGCAGGGGGAGGAGCTGCCCGGCACTAAACCGGTACTGCGGCCGGGGCTGGGCAGGCTCGGCACGGCCTCGGAGAAACACAAAGCTCCCTCCTCTCATGTACGGGGGGCGAGGGAGAGGAAGGACCGCCACCCCCCCGCTTTGTCACAGAGACCTCCCCCGGCGGGGGCCGGCAGCAGCTGCCGCCCTGCTGGACCCTCCCGAACGGCCGCGCCTCCCCGCACAGCGGGAGAAGGCGAGAGGGAGGGACGTGCGAAGCCTGTAAACCGCACGCTGCCATCGCACCTCCCCTCCTCCCCGCCGGCCTCCACCGCCCATTGTGAGCCCGGCAGACTGCGAGGACCCGGCTGCCCCGTGCCCGCCCCCGAGCGCCGGGCACGCCTGCCCCGGCGCGGGGACACGTCAGGACACACACGCGTGTCCCCCGCCTGCCCCCGTCAGCCACGACGAACACCACCACAACTACTGGCGGCCGCGACCGGCTATAAATAAGGCTCTGCCGAGCGCAGCGCCCGGCTCCCCCCCGCACCTCCTCTTATTATTCATCATCAGTGCAGCCTGGGAGTGGGAAACTCCGCTTCCTACTTGCCGCTACGCTCCTACCGCCTCAGCCCCCGCCCCCTTCGCCCCCTCCGCTCCTCATTAAGCTCCTTAAATCCCAAGGAAACTTTGGGAAGCGATTCAGCTCGCGTGGGCAGCCGGGCCGCTGCGCGCCGGGGCAGCCCAAGCGAGAAACCTGCCCAACTTTTCTTCCAGCCTCCAGTCCAGCCTGCGGAGTCACCTTCCTCTGTGCGGGATTTAAGGGCGGCCAGCACCCCGTACGGAGAAAGCGTGGCGAAACACACACACGCACACACAAAACCCTCCCCCGGTTCTCGGCAGCCCGCGGCGCACGCCTGGCACCCCTCCTTCCCCTTTACTCCAGAGCAGTTCTACCCTTCCTTAGGCGACGAGGGAAAAAAAAAAAAATAATAGTAATAAAAAAAATCTGTCCTCTCCCTCCACCCCAGCTCAGGAGAAGTTGCAAAGCGTCCCGCCAGCTCCCGCCTGCCCGTCCCGCCAGAGACCCTGCTGCCGCCGAAGTTGAGACGAGCCCCGCTCCCCTTTGACAAGCTGCGGGGCCGACCTCCAGCTCATAGTGGCGAGCGACGCGGAGTTGACAGCCACTCCTCCGCCCCCCGGCCCGCACCCCTTACCATGATCAGCGTGTGGTTCCTCTGCTCCGCCGTGGCGGGTTCAGCATCTTGCTGTTTGCTCTGGTGCTGTTGCTTGCTGCCGCCGCCGGTGCCCGTTTTCTTGGCCCTCTGCTCCAGGGTCCGCTGGTAGAGGCTCACCGTGTCCCTGCGCTCCAGCTCCAGCTGCTCCGCCTGGGCTTGCTGGTACCTGCTCTCGCAGTTGACATGGTGCCGCCGGCAGCCCTCGATGCGCTGCCTTAGCCGCTCCACCACCGTGCTGTGCTTGGGAATGCCGCCACTATTAGCGTTATTGTTACCGGGAGCGGCAGCAGGAGGGCCATGGGGAGTGCTGTTAACCCCGATACCGGCCCCGCTGAGGCTGCTGTTCAGGTTATTGTTGATGCAAATACTGCTGCCATTCGCGGCGGCAGCGGGGGCTGCAAAATCCCCCATCCTCCTCCCCGTGCACACTATTTTGGAAGAACTTTTTATCCTACACTTCACACATACAGTCTCCTAGGGGGTCCTGATGGGATACTTTTTACAGAACCGGGGAAGGGGGGGAAGGGGGCACCATCATGTATCAGGGAAACAGCGATCCCAAGCAAATGTTTCTCTTTTCACCCAGCCAATCTCCCTCGAGAAGCTCCAAAACATTTAAAGAGAGGGAAGGGGGGAGGGCAATAAACAAGGTGCTGAAAGGTTATCGCCAGCAACACAACCAACACACACACACACACACACACACACACACAAAACAAACTAAGCAGCAGCAATTCGACTTAGCATAGCAAACTCCAGGAGATATCAGACCAGTTCCTTTCCTTCTCTTTCTTTTTTATAATCCATTATTTCAAAACAGATTCCACGAGATTTCCTCCGGAGATTTTGCCAAAAGCCTTCTCTCCCCATGTTTAAGGAGAAACACGCGCCCCTCCACATACGCACACATACACACACCCGCTCACACGCACGTTCGCACACACACATCCAAGCACAGGCAAACGCTGGGCACACACGGCACACTCACTCGCACTCCACGGCATCAAAAGACAGGCAAAGCCGCTTGCTTATTGTATTTTCCTTCTAGAAAAAAGTTTTGGTATTTATGCCGCACCGTGTTCGCAAAGTACTTTGGCTGCTCAGTTGCATTTCAACAGGAACCTAAATAGCAAATCCTCGCGCTGGGGGAAGTAAACACATGAACAATCCGGACCGAGCTGGAGAGGAAAAAAAAAAAAAAAAAAAAAAAAAAAAAAAGCGCTCTGAAGTCTCTGCCGAACGCCGAGCTAATACAGCCTAACGCTTTGCTCTGTCGTGCTGGCTGCTGCTCCTCCTGCCACCATCACAATGATCAAATGCTCTCCTCCTCCACCTCCTCCTCCTCCATGCCAGCGGAGTGATACCAGGACAGGAGCGCTCAGTAAACACCGCGGCGGCGGCGGCGGCTGCTCCTCTGGGCCGTGAGGCAGACCCGGGGACAAGGTGCAAAACCCGGCACGGACGCCGCCCAGCAGGAGCGGACACGGCGCTTTCCCGTAGCGCTAATGCGCGCCGGCGGTGGCGGCGGCGTGGGGCGGGCGGCGGCGAGCGGGGCCCGACACCTGCCGGCCCCGCGGCCTCCCCGCACCGCGGGGGCGGGCGGTGCCTCCCGGCCGGCACACGGGACCCGGCGGCGGCCGCTGCGCGCCGTGCCCACGCTGGGGGCTGCAGCGAGGGCAGCGCAGGGCCCGGGCTGCCAGGGCAGCGGGCGGGCGCCGGGGGGCGCAGGCGGGGGTCCGGCGGGCAGGCGGCCGCAGCCCACGCCCGAGCGGCGTGTGCCGCCTTTTTCCCTTCTGTGTCAACTGTTGCATAATGAATGGCAGCGGAGCGCGGAGCCGTGCGCCTCCCCGGCACGGGGCTGAACTTTCTATTTTAAACAGAAGAAACGTGACACGTTGGGCAGCAACATTTTTTCAAGCGAACGGTGGCTGCCTCCATAATAGAGCACGGGTGATTAATGGATCAAGAATAACATCCTAGGAATCTAGTTTTAAACTATTTGGCAGACGAAGCTATTGCACCCACAATTGTCATTGTTATTTTCTACCTAGCCCTATGAGAAATGCACTTCCAATTTTTTTAATATATCTACATAGAACAGAATTATCGCGGAGAGACACCCGTGTTCTCTAACATGCAGCTGATATAAAGAAAATTGGGAACTCATGTATTAGTAATGTAATCTGATTTAAACCATCTTATTTTTTGCTATTGCAGACTACCATAGTATACTATTTCTAAGATAGTGACAAAGAGCAGTTTTTGTCTTCTTTAAGTGCTCAGCAGTATGAAATTTAAGGTTGATTTCATGCCTATTGCCACAATTCATTACTATGTTGAGATAGAACATAGTAATGAACAAATAAAAATAGCAATTAGTACCTTTCCTGCGTTGGGATTAACAAACACGTCTTCCCCCCAGAAAAAAAATTAAAAAAAAACCCAAACAAAAAAACTTTTCTGTAGTATCAGTTTGAAAACCACAGTGAAGACACTTAAAGTTCTTCATGATCATCGATTACTACATTATCACAGAACAAGCAGGGGGAAATTGCAGCTCTGCTCAGAAGCAGTGTAAGAACACGGGGAAACTGCAATCCTGAGTCAATTATAGAGATTCGTGCCTCTTAATTTGGAGATGGGGGATGTGTTGTAATCTCCCCAGTAACTATGGAATTGAATTGTTAAATTCAATGTACGAATAGAAAGAGGAGGAAAAAAGAAGGGATGTAGGGATTTGAAGTTTTAAATAGAAGGGGCATAGGGATTTGAGGTTTTAATTATTATTATTATTACTATTATTACTATTATTACTATTATCATATAATTAAAAAAAAAAAACTGAAATGGAAAATGTAATCAGGCCAGGGAAGGAGAGGGCTGTGAAGCGCGGTTTAACTTAGAGCGAGTACTTTTTGGATTCCTCCGCAGTGCCCCCTGCAGCCCGCAGCTCGTGTGCTGCAGCCTGGCTCCACAGAGTGCTGGGCAGCACCCGAGTCCAAGTAAAAAAAGTGTTTCGTACACCCACAGGGTCAGAAATAAATGTGAAAGCAGTAGTCTTCTTACAGACTGCTTTTTCGGTGCATTTTAAGAGAAGTCTTCTTTTCCTACGACTTTTCCTATGACTACAATTAATAGCATTTTTCAATCTCTGAAGTCAGACAAGCACACCTTAACTTCCAGTACATCACTTTGGCAGCTGTCAGTGTGGTAATTTTTTAGTGTAAGCTGTATTGCTATAGAATTTAATTTCAGCCTATTAAAAATGTAGGAATTTTTTACCTCTCAACTATGTACCTTGGTTCTGCCAGGCTGCACAGCCCAAGGGTGACACTTTGAATAAAAGAAGTTTTGGAATAACCAGTGCTTAGTGTTAGAAGTTTTGCAAACAAATAGATCACCAGTTTTGTGGAAATAAAATTCCAACCCACAAAAGAAAGGAAGAAAGAAACAAAACACAAAACTCCCCCAACAAAACCCCTCTATCTGAATACATTCAAAACCCATTTGATTCTGATTAAAAGGTATTTTTTCATTGCCTGAGGTTAAAGCAAAGCAAAGCAACTATATTTCTATTTCCGTACTCATTTTAACAGCATGGTGGTGATTCTTGCATTATTCTACAATACAATCTTTTATAAGATAAGGCACTCCTTCCTATATCTAAGACAATAAACAGAATCAGCATTTCATAAAAAACCAGCAGTTGTCCTCTGTTATTTTACAGCTGTCATCCAGCACCTAAGAGCTAACTAAAAATTTTCTTCTGATGGGAGGTTTTTCTTTTAAAGCCAAGTATTGAGTGGCAATTGTAAAATAGCATAATATTGATAATATTTCACATTTCACTTATGCATCATTTATTTTAAGGATACTTACATAAACAATTACCAGCTTCTTAAAAGCTAAAGTAAAATGAGCTATTTAGTGAACTATTTAAATCTAATTTTTGAGAAATACAACACTTCCACTAAGTCTCTGAGTCCAAAAATATCGGGAAACAAATCCCTTGTATTATGCAATGCAAGAAACAGAGATATCTCAATTTTGTTCTAACTACTGTTATTGTCATTAAAGCAGATGTTCTTCACAGCCTTGACCAGACAATTGTTCTGTAGTCAGACACAAGCAAGACTCAGTCACGACTGTGTGTGCTTTTACTTTTATGACTGTGGGCTTACAAACACCCCTTCTGTAGAAATTCACTTTGCATGCACAAATGTATTTATTTGCTCTATAATATTTTTTTTTCCTGTTTGCACATCAGCTTTGGAATACTACCTTCACAACTAGAATTTGAAAATAATCAAACCTATCAGAATTCTAAATGATCTAAGGTAAACTTGCTGATGGCAGCAGATGAACAGTAATGCCTACCGGTATCAGCTGACAGGACACTAATTACCAGTTACAGGAGATGATTGCTTGGTGAGAGATCTATTCAGTGAGTTATGATTTTGAAAAATTATAAAGCACAGGCCTGATCTGTGAAAAAATACGCGGTATGAAAATACAGCATACGTTCTCAAGATGATTATCCTGACAGAGATCTGTCTAATTAGAAAGGAACTATTTTAATGCTAAGATATGAAAGAGCCCAGCTGGGAGAGGAATTTAGAGGAAGACACAGAAACATGACTGTTAAGCTGACAGCAAGTGCAATCTAAGCATGTTCCAATGACAGCTTCTAAAAAAATTTCATCTTATCATGAAAAAAAATTCATCTCATATTTAATCAACAGTGGTTTCAGAATGAGCATATCCTTACAGATAATCTAGCTAGTCATATTAGTGGGAGGGGCTCCATAAAAAATACGTAAAATATGCCTTCGCAGAGCAACTTACCATTCTCCTTCGGTCAGCTGAGCTAGAGAGTTATTCAGCCAATGGACAACATGAAAAATACCACTGTGAGGATAAATGGGTATCCCACTCTATTAGAAGCTACACTTTAGTTCCTGACACTGCCAGTCAGGTTGGAAACTTCAATCATTGCGACAGCAAGTTTCAAACCATCCTAGGCAAGAGATTAACCTTTAGAGTAGCCACCTAGGCAGAAACCTTTCTGAAAGCTCCTACTATAACTAAATGGTTTATGTCTACATCAGTGGATGACATGGTGAAACAGGTGTCTGCTGGAAGGAAAACCTAGAGGCAACCATACAATGTGTTCACTGAATAACTCTGAACTTCTTGGGTCTGCAAGGAGCAGCTTTCTTACATATTGAAAAGGGTTTCGGAGGATTTCTGCTGAAGGTTCTTTTGGACACAGTGCTACCTAAAAGCAAATCAGATGTACTTCCATTACTACCACAAGCCACTGAAGTGAATGTTGCCTAATACATCCGTGGTCAAAAAAAGAATGAGGTCATTTGAAGGATAGTTAAAGTAAAGCTATACATTGAGGGTTCACTGAAAAGTAAAAACCCCACAACCTTCATGAATGAATGTATCTGTGAAATCCATGGCAAAAATTCTCATGACAGTTGGGGTGGCCACAGACTACAGCTGTCAGAACATCCAGAACTGTAAGGATTCCTCAAGGGATGAACAGAGTGGAGCAAAAAAAGTTTTTCTAAATAGTTAAGGAAGACGTCATCAA